CTCTCTCTCTCTCATGTGCCAGGTACTAACCTGTGAAGATGGCGCTGTGCTGCAGGTACCTCGAAGACGAAGCTGGAGCAATGTCGCTGCAGGCAAGTCTCCCTGGCCTCCGCCCAATCTCTCTCTCTCTAGTACTACTAGCTCCTATGGCGCCCAGCGCTGAATACTACTGCTAACGCTACTAGCGCCCAACGCCGAAGACTACTGCTAACGCTACTACTATTCCTGCAGCGCTCCTCCAGAGTGCTGCTGCCGAATCCTGAAGACTATCTCCTGCCTCCTGATCTGCACGTAAAGTGCCTGGGAAGTACCTAGCAACTACCTGCCTTCCTGCAGGGCGGGCCAGTCCTATATAGTGCTGGCCCGTCCAGGAGGCTGCTCTTGCCAATGCCGAAACGTGCCAGACCCTGGCGTTGAAACTCAACCAGGTGTTGTCTTGAAAACAGACCAGAAATGGCATGTGCCAAAACCCTGGTTTGTTGCCTGAGTTGCAGGGCAGGTCGAACTGATGAGGGCCCGGAAATGGCCCTCAGTTTCAGGCTAAAAACATTTAGGGTCGGAAAGGCCCTGATTTAGCCTGAAACGACACAGGACCTGTAGGCCCTTGTTTTCAGGCTTTCAGGCTGAAACGACACAGGGCCTGTAGGCCCTTGTTTTCGGGCTTTTGCACTGAAAACATCATGGGTCTGGAAATGCCCCGTGCAGCCTGTTGCAGGCGCACCATGTAACACCCCCCCCTCCTTATGAAGTCAATCCGGGTCAAGGTCGAAGCTGACAATCTGAAGGTGGAACCTGGACGCGGGTGCGACGTGGAGCCGAAGATACCGGCTTGCCTTGCATTTTGCATTCGTAGCGTGTGAGAACATCCAGAGTTGTTGCTTGGAGTTCCGCACGGGTCAACCAACGGTCAGCTTTGTGAGTGCAGTACGCAAAATGTACCAAATACTCGGTTGGCCTGCTGCCATGGCGTCGCTGGGAGATGATGTCGCCGACCTCCTGAAAATCGTCCATAGAGGGTGGGTCTTGCAATCGTCGCCCGGGAAAATCGTCATGTTCCGCTGGCGTGTAAAGAGCCAACTTGGAGCAATGAAAGATTGGGTAGACGGCCAAGTGGGCGGGCACCTGAATGGTGAAGGAAGGTCCTTCGGGTGCATCCCCAGCGGGTGCCACGATCGGCCAGGGCCCCATCCATTTCCTTGGGGTAACCTTTGGTTCGAATCCAACCCGCGTAAGGGTGCGGATGAGAGTGCGAAGGAGAACCTGTGCGGTCTAATGCGCCCTCTCCGTTCGGCCATCGGTTTAAGGGTGGCGAGCCGAACTTGGCTTGAGAGATGAGCCCCATCGTTTGATGAACGCCAACCAAAAATCGGACATGAACCGAGTGTCGCGGTCGCAGACGATTTCCTTGGGGTAACCTTTGGTTCGAATCCAACCCGCGTAAAGAACCTCGGGCAACTCCAATGCCTTGACATGATAACGGCAAGGCAAAAACATGGCGAACTTGGTGAGTCGGTTGACCACCGTGAGAATCCCATCCACTCCAGTCTTTTGCTTGGGGAACGGGCCCGTAATATCCATTGCAATCACTTCCCTTCGCTGCAAGGGGACCGGTAATGGTCGCAACTCGCCATATGGACGATGGTTGCGGGATTTGCAGCGTCGGCAAACCTTTTATGACTCGCAATAGCGTGTGACGTCGCAGAGAAGGTCGGGCCACCAAAATCGCTCGCGAATTCCGCCAATCGTGCGATTGACTCCAAAGTGTCCGGTGGCGGAAGCATCGTCGACCTTGCCAAGAAGCCGTGTACGCAAGTGAGGGTCACTCGGTACGCAAAGAAGGTCCTTCCCCCGTGTGTGGACAAGCAAGTACCCCTCTTGCATCCGATAGTGAGAAGGCGCCGGATTACGAGAGGAGCAATTCATGTACTTGTCGTGAAACTCGGGGTCGGCTTGGTAGCCGCAGATGAAGTTGTCCCACAGGTCGTTGTCAATCTCGAAGGTTGAATAGACCGCGGTACAATGATCGGGACGCCATTGAAGAGCATCCGCAAAACGGTTCGACTTCCCCGGAATGTGATTGGGAAAGAAGTCGAACTGGTCGATGAAAGCCATCCATCGAGCGATGGTGCTATTGATGGTGTCTTGGGTCTTGTAAAAGACCAACAGATTGTTATCCTTTACCCATCAGAATTTGCTTCGGCCAAGGAGGAAGTGCCGCCACCGCTTCAGCGTGTGGATGAAGGCAAGGAGCTCCTTGCGTGCATCGTCAATGGAGTGCACAACGGTCACTTTCTTGCTGAAATACTCGACCGGGTGCCAATCCACGCCATCGTGTTGCTCGAGGACGACACCAATGCCATAGACGGACGCATCCGTATATGCGCGCAAGACCTCCACAGATAATAGCGCGACTTTAAGAGCCAAAAATGATTCCCGCGGATCGTCTCCGAAGTCAAACGGGCGATCCTCGCATTGAAGCTTGGTCAAGTGGGCCGCGATCTTCGAGTAGCCCTTGATAAAACGCTGGTAGTAGCCAGCGAGGCCAAGGAACGAACGAACATTCGTGACGTTTCGTGGCTCCGACCACTCTTGGATGGCTTGAATCTTGTCCGATAGCTGACTGATGCCCTCCGTGGCTCCGACCACTCTTGGATGGCTTGAATCTTGTCCGATAGCTGACTGATGCCCTCCGAACATTCGTGACGTTCCGTGGCTCCGACCACTCTTGGATGGCCCAAGTATTCCAGCTCTTACCGGAAAAAATTGCACTTCTCGCGGTTGGCCTTGTACTTGCCGCGGCGGAGCGTCTCCAACACTCGTCGAAGGTGCTCAAGATGATCCTCCAATGACCGGCTATAGACGAGAATGTCGTCTAAGTAAACCAGCACGAACCGATCCAACATCGCACGAAACTCGTTGGTCATTGCCGCTTGGAAGGTCGTCGGGGCGTTGGTGAGGCCAAAAGGCATGACCACCCACTCAAAATGCCCATACCTCATCTTGAACGCAGATTTGTAACGATCGTTCGATCAGATCGAGATTTGATGATATCCCGACTTCTAATCAAACTTCGAAAAATACTTTGCGCTGCCCAATCGCTCGAGAAGATCGTCGATGCGAGGAAGAGGCCCCGCATTCTTGACGGTTTGCGCATTGAGCTTGCGGTCGTCAATGCACAATCGTAGATCCTTGTTCTTCTTCCGTACGAAGAGAACTGGCGCTCCGTATGGAGAGCTACTAGGGTGGATCTAGCCCTTGTCCAACAAATCATCGAGTTGCGCACGGAGGACCGTAAGCTCCTCCTCACTCATGTCATAAATGCAAGCTTTCAGCAGCACGGCACCGGCCTCAAGAATAATCTCGTGAGAGATCGACCGATCCAGGTGACTCAAAGATGTCGCCGAACTCGTCAAGCAACCTCACCACACGGGGGTCCGAAGACAAGTCCGTGGATGAAGAGTTGGCTACCGCGACGGTCCATAGGAAACATAGGCCGATCTCGTCGGGCTGCTCGTAAGCACAAGTAGCCCAGAATGACTTGGCCGTCACCACTTAGCACCGAATCCACGGGTGCGGAAGAGGAATAGTACACGACACTTCGGCGCCGAAGGCGTCGCAAACGGTAAGAGTCCGCCGACGGAAGTTGACCGTGTGATCCGCACTTGCAAGCCAAGGCATTCCCAAAATAATGTCGAAGTCCGTGTCCAAAATGTCAAATGTCACCGGTTCGCATGCATGAGGTGCAAAATACACCTTTACGGCCTCGATGTAGCGGTCGATAAGCTGTTGCGTCCTTCCGCCCGCCAACTTGATCGTCGTCGGGTTTGCCTTCCTTCGAACTTGTGCGCCAAGGCCAGCCTTTTGCATAAAGGCTTGGCTCATAAACTTGCGAGACACGCCGCTATCCAGCAAAACACTGCAGGACGCTTGCCCAACTTGGATGCGGACATAGAGGAGCGGTGCGTTGTTGTCAGCGTACCGCTTATTGAGAAACTCGCGAGCCACCTTGGTAACATATGGAAGGATGTCCCCCACCGCGACTTCATCATCCGTCTGCGAAGTTGGTGCTGCATAGAATAATAAGTACGTGTGAAGATGGGCGCATAATGTTGCGCATTGCGGTCCCGGCAAGCGGCCCGTGGTCGGGAGAGGAAGCCATGCGAAATCCTCGAATGTGAGCGGGTCCAATACCTCTATGTTGAACTCGCTCGCCGAATCTCGTGAAGAACCACTTGAAGACGATAAGTCGCCGCTGTCGGACGGAGAAGATGCCGCACACACGTCTTGTCCTTGAGCACGAGTACCCAGCGTACGAACGAGTAGGGCAGCATAGTCCTCAAAAGAATAAAGAAGAGGAGGACTATCGACTTCCGCATGTGCCTCGGAACGAAGGGCGGTCACCCGCGAAGTGACCGGTTCCGAAGGCGTCCAGAGTGTCATCGAGTCACTCCCGGCGGTGCTCAGTTTCCCGATTTGCCCTTGCCTTTCGACTGGCAGGCCATTGTGTCGTGGAGATCGCTGTTACACCACAGACAATAACGGAATCTCGTGTGTGCCTCGAATGCTTGCTCGGAGAAACCGTAATAGGACCATGGGGCTGGAGCTGCTGCGACGCACCCGGGGCTAGATGCGGTGTTTGAGTTCGCCTTGCTGTGTCCTCGGCCTTTGCCGGGGCGGCCACCTTCCCGGGGGGCAACGAGTCTGTCCCCTTCATTGGCAGACACGGCCTCGCTAGTTTGGTTGTTTCGCGTTGCCACCACGACCACGGCCACTTTCGGCCGATGTTGATCTCTGCTTTGGCCTGGCGCAGACAAACGCTAGAGTTCTCCCGATGTCGTCAGGGTGTCCTCGACGCGAGTCAAGGCATTGCCCAACGCCGGACACGACCTCGAGATGAAGTCGTGTTTGATGGCTTTGAAGCCCATTTGAATGCCTGGGACAGATGTCACGCATTGGTACTCGGCAGTGTGCCTTGTTCAAAGACCATCAGCTTGTCCATTGCCTTGATCTCCGGCGGCTCTACTTGGAACCGCTTATGCCACGCCGCCTTTAGATCATCCCAGTTGATCTTGGTGATCATATTGTGCTCGCAGTCTGCGGCACGTGCGAGAGACCTGGCGAAGCTGGCGGTTTCGTCTTTCAACGCGTGGAAGGCGACGAGGACTTGCTCCTCGGGGGCAATATGATGTAAAAAGGAGAGACGGTTAACGGGGGCTCAAATATTCCCCGTTTTCGTTGGCAATTGCGGCCCGAATTTCATCAAAAATTTTAAAAACAAACGATATGAGACCATAGTGCAAACATAAAAAAAGGAAACAGGCCAAAAAAAATGAAAAAGAAAACAAAAAAACACTATGAAACCCTAACACAAAAACACTGTCCGAGTCAAAATGAAGCGTCCAACAAATCCAACAAAATGCCAACTTTTTCATTATTGATCAAAACATGTCAAAACTGCACACATGACGTACCCTAAAACACATATATATCACACAAAAAGAAAAACAAGAAAAAAAGCAAAAAATCAGCACAATATGACAGTTTCAGCGCAATTCGGTGCAAAATTCGTCGAAAATAACACCGCTGGTTAACCACGTGTGTTTAGCTTAACGGGCTCTTTGCGGGGGCGAGCCGTGGCCGCTGTCGTGGGCACAACTTTGGCTGTCTCGATGGCGCCAGCGCAGAACTTATTTACGCCATCCCTCATTCTTCTAACCTTAGCCCCGATGTGGCCCACCACGTCACTCGCAAACTCCCTAAACCCAGATCGCATCGCTTGCAAAGTCACGTCTTGGCCCTTACGGGCCTGGTGCTCTTCTAGCCAGGCCTCGCTCAGAATTTCTAGGAAGCCCATCACCTTATCCAATTTAGCAGAGACCTCTGTTTGGCCCTGCAGTTCTTGCCTGCCGGTTCGTACACGCTCAACCTCCCCGGCTATTCTACTGGCTTCCTCCCTCCTTCTCTTCTTCTCCCTCATCATTTTCAGCTTCCACTCCAACTTCTTTTCATCTTCTGTCTCCTGGCGTTCCAGGGGGTCCTCTATCATCTTCAGTGCCCTGGCAAACGCCTCCCTCTCCTCCTGCGGCACATACAATTGTGCCTCTTCATCTTCTCCCAAAGATAAATTAGTCACCCATTCGCTTATCTTCTTCTCCCTCCATCTGTCATTCTCCTTCGTGCCACTGACTTCCCCTCTCTCCTCTCGGCGTCTTCTCTCAAGGGGTTCTTCTTTTTCTTCTTCCTCCTCTCTTGCTGCCTCTTCCTCTGCAGCCTTCCTCCTTTCTTCCTTCTCTCTCTCTATCAGCATCAACTTCTACTTTTGAATTCTCATTATCTCCTCCTCCAATCTTTTCTTCTGCGCCGCCTCCTCCTACTCAATGGCCTTTAGCTTTGCCTGTTTAGAAAGCTCCTTTTCTCTCTTTTCTCTCAAAAGGGCGGCAATCCGGGCCTTCTCGGCCTCGGAGGGGGCAGTACTCTTCCCTGTACAGGTGTCAACCATGGTGGAAGGTGCACAACCAAGCAGCGGTTCCACTCCTCACCACTTAGACGCTACTCCCACTGACCGACTCACCTATTGAATCAATCTAAGACTTACAGAATCCGGATAGGATCCTATCAACTATGGTCACTAGCGTGGACCTACTCTAAGGCTGTCACTACTAGACCTGTTGCTGATTAGGAGGCATTTAAGGAGATCCCCCGTAACTCCTCAGGAATCATTTTAATGATGCAGACAGGACGAGGCAATCAACAGGTCTCTAAACACTTAGACGGGTTGTTGTGCAGCCCACAGCTCAACTTTCGGGCCTACCGTGCCACACCGAGCAGCCCACCGGTCAGTACCGGTCCTTGGGAGGGTTTGTGTCCTCCGGGACAGTCGAGTCGTCAGACAAAGTCCTTAGCCCTACTTAGTCCGGCAGGGGTTTGGTCAACGAGGCTCTATCCTTCATCCACAGCGTTCCTACACCTGGACAAAAGAGACTCGATGCAGAAAGAAGAGAAACAGACTTGACTCAGCAAGCACCACAGGGTGTAAGCACATCCATAGGGCGAGGGGATAGGCTGAAGGTTTGGCGAGAATATACCGGCTCCAGCTTGGTCAAACTTGTGGTCAACGGTCTTGGTCAACGCCTTGGTCAACATTGCAGTCAACCCACGATCAACCCTGGTCAACTCCCGTCAACATCGGTTAGCACCTCCGGTCAACTCCCGATCACACCCGATCAACGCCTGGTCAACTCCAGTCAACGTCGGTCAGCACCTCTAGTCAACTCCCAGTCACCTTGCCTCCTTTCTCTTCACCTCGACTTCCTTCTTTCTCTTTTTTTTTTTTTTTTTTTTTAATCGTCTCTCTCTTCTCGTCCTTGGCTATGGCTTCTCTCTCCCTTCTCAGTCTCCTCCTCTGCCTTCTCTTTCAATCTCCTTCGTTCTCTGTGGTCCAGCTCCGCGGCTATGGCCGCCTCTCACTTCGTGGGACTGCACGACACACTTCACAGATAAGTGACAACCAAACTTGTATCGCTCATCTCTCTCCACCCTCTCTCTCTCTCTCTCGCCGTACCGATGTCTTCAACGCAGAAGCGTGGTAAGCCAATATTGTATCGCTCAACCTTTCTCTCTCTCTCTCTCTCTCTCTCTCTCTCTCTCTCTCTCTCTCTCTCTAGGTCTTCTTCTTCGTCGTGGTCTTCTCTGCAGGTGCGCGTGGCGGCTTCTTCAACCTCGATGTACGCTATGGCGGACTTCTTGTGTCGACGGCCACCTCAGCTATGGTGCATCACCCTCCCTGCGGCACACAACAAGGCGCGTGGAATAGCGGGTACCAGCTCCGATACCAATGCAATCAGACTCGCTTTCATTCACACTTTACATGCATGCAAACAGTAGCGCAGCAAACTGGCGACATGCGCCCACTTAATACTCAGAGATATGACACCCAAGAACGCAATTCAGACACGAGTTCACTTTAACTGGCCATGGCGACGTAGCGCCCACACAACTCTCTGTTCGCATGCACTGGATCACCCTGGATATCCCACACGCGGTCCTCTGAACACATACACACACACCGAACTCCAACTACAGCTATGGCGGCTATGGTCGCCTCTACCCTATCGCTATGGCTAAGCTACGTATCTCTGCGCACTTCGTCTTCGAGCTCACTGCAGACCTCCTTGCACAAGTCGTCGTGGCAGCGCTTCCGCATGGCTCACGAAGGAATGAATGAATGGCTGGGCGCTGCCTCTTGATTTATACTTCTGCAGCTCGTTGGTTTGGCCCTTTGCCATGCCCGAAGTGCACACAGTCCCATGCGGTACTTGCTGGACTGAACCAGGACTGCCTAGGACTGGGACTGCTGACTCAACACAGGAAGACTCCACCACTTGCCTCACCAACTGCCCACTTGCCTCAGCCTAAACGTGGGACACACCGAAAGGCCACTACTCGAACCTTCCGGAAGGCCGTAGACTTGGCCTTTCGGTACTGTAGCAGCTACGACCTTGACCTTTCCGGACTGTAGCAGCTACGACCTTGACTCTTCGAGACAACTACAACTACCGCGTCTAGACCTCACTGGGACCCCTACTCGATAGGTCTACAGATCGAACCCCTGTGGCCTCTGGACCCTACGGCAGTCTACCACTGTTACAAATACACAGGTCACGGGTTCAACCCTAGGGGTCGACACAGATACTGTACACAGGTAAGGTGGAAACTAGGGATCGAGCCCTGGGATCTGCATCAGCTACTGCGAATTGGTGAATATCGTTTCAGGAATAGAGGTAGTGGCATAGGTAGGAGAGGGTGGAGGCCATACCTGCGGACGACGAACTTACCTGGCACCATAGTTGGGACTCCGCATGCGACCTGCACAAGACAGCGACAACGCGACAATCAATGTACAGCGGCCTTCCTGCAGGTGAGACAGTAGGGAAGACTACCTCTTCCTTGTTCGTCTCCCCTCCATCTCATCTCTCTCTCCTCCCTACTCCCTCTTCATCTGCTTCATCTGCTTCATCTTCTTCTTCTTCAGATACGAGAGAGTGAGGTTACAGGCAGATCATACAAGCAGGAGTTACGGTGGGCATTGCGCCCAGGATCTGGTTCGACATTTTTGAGACAGACATTGATTGGACATCGACAAGGGACTATTTTTGGACATCGCCATTGCGATCTTGGACTTCGCCCTCGCCTCCATCTTTGTCTCACCTCTCCCCCCATCTCACATCTGTGGTATCTCCCCATGTGCGTGTACAAGGAGGGACCTTTCTTCTTTGTGTGCGGTCCCTCCTCCGCTCACATGTGTGATGTATGATGGGATGTCGTGTCAGTCCCGGTCAGGTTACGACTTATATCCAAGTCTTCCACTGCGCTATTTTGTGCCACTTCGTATGTATCAAGGTGAACATTGCTTGTTGATGTTTCACTAACATTGCATTGTCCATTCAGTCCTTTTCATCACATTGGGGATCCTTGGCTGTACATACATTGCCCAACTGGGCATGTATCAATCTCTCTCTCCAATGTGAGTTGTCGATGCACATGGCCGCTATGTCGGTCTCTCTCTCTCTCTCTCTCTCTCTCTCTCTCTCTCTCTCTCTCTCTCTCTCTCTCTCTCTCTCTCTCTCTCTCTCTCTCTCTCACACACACACACACACACACACACACACACACACACACACACACACACACACACACACATACACACACACACTCAAACACACTTAGCGTTCAAATGCATACCGGATCCTGAGCACGCAGCCCAGTCAATGCGTTCTTTAAAAAAAGAACTGCAGCGCAGTCAATGTGTTCTTTAAACAAAAAAGAAAAAAAAAAACCTTAACGCTGCAGCCCCGTCCTGGTAGCGGTCGACTGTGTTCTATTCGTGATATTATTAATAATATTAAATATATATTTATTTTTATTTTTTTGCCCCTCATGCAAGGAAGATGAGCAATAGCGAACTTCAGCAATCAAACAGCATCATACATATGAGTCCAGATAGTCGTGACCTCGAACCAACAGCAGAATTGGATCACGAGTTTCACCAAATAAGAACACACACCTTTAAGACACGCAGCGCTCTCCGGATTGCTCAGGGACGCTGACGTCAAGTGACATTCTGGGGAACAAAGGGAGGGGTAGATTTCAGGTGATAAGTTTGTGAAAAATTCCATACTGTCCTATCCACACAAATGATTCTATGTTTATGTTTTGATTTGTTAGGTGTACAGCCATTTGACATGTGACAGACAACATAATTAGAATTGTATTTGTTCATTGTGCATTCTGTTCGCGGACTAATCACACTAAAAATAGTTTCGTTTGTAGGAATCTGACTTACCTGTTGGGCCCGAATGTATAGTCTCTGACACAGCCAGCAATTAATTAGTTGTTTATTTTAAATTGGTCTGTGCATTACACTGTGGTAGGCATCTAGAGTGCACTAGTGCAGATTGTGTGCAGTGTTGTAGCTTATGAGCAACAGGGAGGACACTAGAGAGGACGACCGGATCTTGCGATCGGCTAGACTCCCGATTGCCCACTTGGCATTAGGACCAGAGGGCGACAGATACCTATTCCGACAGCGTAGGGAGAGACTGCAGCAGCAGAGCAAGGCTAGAGCAGCTAGCAGGGCATTAGTAACCTCTAACCAACAACAGAATTGCATCACGAGTTTCACCAAATATGAACACACCAAGAGTTCATAATTGACAATGCTGAAATAGTCCCATCATCATCATCAACCAAGAACCAAAGTTGATATCCTATCTGGCGCTCGGCGCCCAGACTACATATGGCAGATCCTATCTAGCCTATACTACAATACCGAAGTTGACGACAACAACTCTCCCGAAATGAGAGCAGATAGTGGCCAATGCCGCACACCTCCAGCACCAGGTATGTCTCTCGCCTCACTCACAACCTCGTTCCCCAACACACAGATGCCACTTGCACCCAAGGACCACCCTGTGCCACACCCAGCTTACAACAGCGCAGCTCAGCAATGGCGGCCTGCTCCTTCCTGCTCGCTCGTGAGCGCGTGAGTGCCAGCGAGCTTCAGCACAACAGCGCTTGCGCAACATGCAACCAGCACCCGAATGAGCAATGTGGAGGCAGGGCCTTTGCTATATCGAAGTGGCCTGCCTGCGTTCAGTCCCAGGAAGCTTCCAGTAGGCCCCAATAGCCTGAGGCCCAGCACGATAGAGAACAGGCCTTGGGCCTGAGGTGGTTGCATGCACCCAACTGCCTTTGACCTGTGTTTGGCCCAGTACCCGTATCCAGCCCAAGGCCTGTTTTCCATACATTCACACAGGCGGCCCAGGGCCTGGGTTCTCTCAACCAACTGGCGTTGCGAAACTACCTGAATTTCCATAGTTGCGCAAGTGGTCAAAATAAGGCCCCGAGGGCCTCGTCGAGCCTGCCTTCACTTAGGGCTGCCGACTTGCTCTAAAAAGGGGCCGAATGGGGCTCATAGAGGCAGTGGCCTCGCATTCCCTCCTCCTTAGCTTCAACAGTCCTCTGAGAAGCTCCGTCTTCGACCATCGGGCGCTTTCCTTTCTGCAGAGATTTTTCGTAATGAGCTACAACTTGAGGAGCGGTCTGCATAAGTTCCTACCTAGTGAACCAGCCGTCCTCCTTAGGATCAGTATGACGTCGGAACCGAATGTGGTACTACAGCTTCGATTTCGGAGGACGTCCCCTGCCTGTTGGTCTTGGAACTGGCAGCTCTCTGTGGTCGATGATATCATCGATATCCACCTCTCCGTCCATGGTTGGGGGCAGCATTGAGCGACGAGATGGAAACTGATCTGTTTCTTTGAAAGGTCCAAGCTTGGAGGCGTGAAAGACAGGGTAAGTACGGAGATGACCAGGGATCCCGATTACATAAGATGGCCCATCTCGATCAGTCCCGACAATATCTAAGACTTCCCATGGGCCAAAGTACTGTGACATGAGTTTGCGGGATATCCCGTACTCCTGTCCCAGTTCTGAGGACTTTACCTAGACTCTGTCCCCAACCTGAAACGTAGAAGGTCGACGGTGTCTATTCTCACACTCTATCATTGCTGCCTGTGCCATCTGTTCTACCGCCTGCTGCATCTTGTGTTCATACCTGTAGGCAAACTCAAAAGTACCTGGTGCAGCAGTTGACTGATTCTCAGGAAGAAGAAAGTCTAAGGTTAGTCTAGGTTTGAAGGTCAATAGCAAACTGTTTGGGCTCATCCCGGTGGCGCTGTGTATAGCGTTGTTGTACAGAATGGCGATGAGAGCAATCTTCTCATCCCAGTCCACCTGGTTGGGCTTGATGTAATGCCTCAACAGGTGTTGTACAACGTGATTCAGTTGCTTGGCTTGACCGTTGGCCTCTGGGTGATTCCTAGAAGTCATTTGCAACTGGGTTCCCTGCTCTGCAGCAGCGGCCTTCCACAATTCGCTAGTGAAGCGAACATCTCTGTCGCTCACTATGGACTTGGGCAATCCAAAATCCATGACCCAGTTCTCTTTGAACAATCTGATTACGTACTCGGTCTTCGCAGTCTTCGGCATGGCTATTAATCTAGCATACTTACTAAATCTATCCACAATGAAGAAAATGTGTCTCATCCCACTCTTGCTGGTAACCAGCGTATCCATGAAGTCCATGGACGAACTCTCACCAGGCCTTTCCGGAATTAGAAGGGGCTTCAGGAGCCCAAGAGGAGCCTGAGTACGTGGCTTGTCTCTCTGACAGACCTGGCAAGTCTCCACGTACAGTTGGGCATCTCTCATCATTGTGGGCCACCAGAGCCGCTGCAGCAGGTTAGCTGCGGTCTTCTTGTACCCAAAATGGCCGGTGGCATAATGACACTCCCCTAAAAATAAACTACGCAAAAACTCCCTACTAGGCACACACAACCGTTTATTCCCTGCCTTCTCAAGGAACAGCAGGTCGTTGACCAACTCAAACTCAGCAGAAGTCCCTTTGTCCTTCGCCTCGAGTCTGCGTACGATCTCGGCCATAAACGGGTCCTCGCGATAGGCTTCCACCAAAGACTGAGCAACACTGTCCGCAAGATTGAACTCAGTAATCAGCGCACCTGAGAAGTCACGTCTACGCATTAAGGCGTCAACAACCTTGTTGTACTCGCCCTTGATGTACTGGGGCTCGAAGTCATACTGCTCAATGACTTTGATCCAACGCTTGAGAGCGTCAGAGAGTACTGGCTGAGTTCTCATCCATCTCAGGGTCTGATGATCAGTCCTGAGGATGAAGAACCTCCCAAGGAGATAGTGTCTCCAACGGGTCAGAGCCTTGTACACCGCATACAGTTCCTTCTCATAGGTGGACTTTGCCAACTTCTGAGACGGCATCTTTTTGGACATGTACTCAACAGGCCTCAAATTTGTCCCCTCCTGTTGTGCAAGTACGACGCCTATGCCATATTGGCTAGCATCCGTAGTCACTATAAATGACTTGTCAGGATCAGGAAGTTTCAAGACTTCGTAATGTGTCAACGCGTGCTTCAGATGTCTGAAAGCAGCCTCGCATCTCTCAGTCCACTCCCATGGGGTGTCAAGGCGGGTCAGATCAGTCAAAGGGGCGGCAACTATGCTATAGTTCTTCACGAAGTTGCGATAGTAGCTGGTCATCCCTAAGGAAGATCTCATCTCAGTCACCGACTGAGGATGCGGCCAATCATGAATGCTGGCCACCTTCGCGTCATCGGGCTTCAACCCTTCCGCGAAAATCTCATGACCCAAGTACAAGACACGGGTGCAACCAAACTCGCACTTCTCACCGTTGATCTTGAACTTGTGTTGTCGCAAGAGACTGAGGACTTTGTCCAAGTGTGCAACGTGCTCCTCGACAGTCTTATTAAAAATAAGTATGTCATCGAAGTACACGATGACAAACTTATCCAAGTAGTCATGAAAGATCCGATTCATAGCGCGCTGAAATGTGCCAGGAGCATTGCAAAGACCGAAAGGCATCACCACAAACTCGTATAGACCATACCTGGTCTGAAATGCGGTTTTGTGTTGATCCTCAGGTCGGATTGCAATCTGATGGTACCCGAACTTCATATCGATCTTACTGAAGTACCGACACCCTTGCACTTTATCTAGCAAATCGCCGATGTGCGGTAGGGGGTCTATGTTCTTAACAGTGATGGCATTGAGGCCCTCACTGTAATCAATGCACATCCTAAGTGTTCCCTCCTTCGTCTTAGGTACGAATAGTACTGGAGACCCATAAGGAGAGACACTTGGCCGGATCCAACCCTTCTCTACGAATTCCTTGAGTTGTCGGCGAAGCTCATCGAGCTCGCCTGGAGACATCCGATAGATCCTACCCTTCAAGATGCTGGACCCTGGGATAATCTCTATCGTGTGGACGACCTCCATCTCTACAACCCTTGTCGGCTTCTTCCTACCATCCGTAGTGGGTGCCTGCCCTAGTTGCGCAGTGGTCAAAATAGGGCCCCGAGGGCCTCGTCGAGCGTGCCTTCACTTAGGGCGGCCGGCTTGCTCCAAAAAGGGGCCGAATGGGGCTCATAGAGGCAGTGGCCTCCCATTTACCTTAGGAAAGTTGCAACCTAAAATTTGTTCTACAAGCTACGTCCCACGTATTTGAATACAAGGTACCCCATACCTTGTATTTGTGTACAAGGTACGTACCGAATTAAAGTAGTGCCTTCTCTCTCTCTATTCGTGATATTATTAAGGGAAAATTTGTCGGGTGCCCCTGTAATTTGCGTTATTTCCTGTCGCGCCCCTCCGACGGCCGATTTACCCTGTCGCGCCCCTGGGCCAAAAAATATTTTCTGCAGGCCCTTGTCGGTAGCGACAACAACCTTCCAGGACGCCCTCCTTGGACTGACGGTCGAGCTCTGTGCCATATGCCCTCATGACGGGCAGCCATCTTTCTGCAATGCCCCCACAACCGTGAGGCACCACAAATTCGCATTTCCATCGGGCCCTGTGCCATATCGTCCGCTTCCCTGCAAGTGTGTGTGTGTG